AAATAACTTGAGTGAGAATTATTTGTCTCATTTGGGTTGAAGGTGCAAGACAACAGATGATTCACTACAAAGTTGATGGGTGTCCCCTGCACACTGAATGTCACCCAAGGGCTGGTATTCAACTAGTACCAGATGAACCCAAAGGGCAGAGGTGGGCTGGTCAGCTGCTCTGATGCTGGAGAACAGAGAAGTCACTAAATTGGCAAGTTACATGTGCTGGTCAAGGAAATGGTTATACAAGAGAGTCCTTTGGATATGAGCTGTGACAGAAAACCTGTCCAAGGCACAATAAAGGAATCCTAACAGGGGGATGGACCTGTGTAAGCCCAGAGGCTAATAAAGCAGCCAGAGGAGATATAATGTCCCAGAACAGGGACTGCAGCTGAGGTACTTCCAGTGATGGGTGATCATCAAAATTCCACAGATGGTCCTAGGAGAAAGACAGCTTCAAATACTGCCCCAAGCCCAAGGAAAGACCTTTCTCCTTCCTCTGTTCTTCCTGTCCTCCACACAGCTCTGATCCTGGGGAGTCAGAAATGGAGGCATCCAGAAGAGAGGGGTAGGCAGAAGGCCTACTAGGAAAAAGAGGGAGTAGCCAATCTTTCTCCTTCCCCACTCACTGTTCACAGCTGGGCAGGCCTGAGCTGGGGAAAGATAGCAGCTGAGCCCTGAATGAAATTCAAGGATTGCGTATTTTACTTGTTGACTTGAGATCCTTTTTATTACCAGAATGTGACCAAAGAAGTTTTGGGACTTACTGTAAATTTCTATAAGACGGAAGATGCAAAACTATAAAATTTAAAAGGATAGTGAGAGAAAAATAATAAAGTTAGTTCTGATTAAACTCGCAGATTTTACTTGTTCAACTTATGGTTATATCAGTGGTCAACTTTAACACACTCTTTTAACTTTCTGATTGTGTCCCTGCCCAGCAGAGAAAATGTGTGCTTAAATGTTACTAATCCATATGATTTGGGTTCATTTTCAGTTATTAGCAGGGGTCCACTTGATTCCAATATTGTCAGAGTATGGCCATTTTGGGGAGAGGACAAGTTTCACCTAAGTCAGAAAATTATTTTATAACACAATAGAACTTAAAAAGAGAATCCTCAAGAAATGCAGCTATTTATGTTTAAGGACTTAAATCCAAATTCTCCTTTTCTATCTTAATGACTAATAATGGCGACCATTTAGCCTATGTTTTCTAAATGCTTTAGATATATCATCTAAAGTGTTTCTCACAACAACCCTATGAACTAGTAACTGAGTTATCTTTAATACACACATATTTGAATGTTTGTGAGATACACACATTTTTCTCAATGTATAATATGTTAATTGTGTGTGAATGTGCAGAAATAATCTTCCTAATCCATTCTTGGGCAGCCTGTTTATTTTTCTTTCCTGCTGAATCACCTTGAGAAACCAACTTTTCATAGAAAAAATTTTTTGCACTCAAATATCATTAGTTTGTATAATATTTATTAATATATCCTATTAAAGAAACAAATACAATAGGCTTAGTTTCAGATTATTAGCAAACACAACTGACTCTTGTAATCATACTGCCCTAATAAATGGAGAAATATGTGAGACTACAATCTGAGTGTTTAACATTCCACAGACATCTGTTGGAAGTTTTAACAAAAGAAATGGTGAATGTCAGTTAATCTACAAGTCAATTCAGAGGAATTCATTTAAAAATCTAACATTTTTCTCTTGAAAAATGTTAATTTATTTTTCTTGGCATTTGCCCCATCTGTAAGAGTTTAGCTTCCTGAAACATCCCAGCCGTCCAAAACTTCAATACCGAGTATCTTTGTGGGGGTATTTAATGAGTTTTAATGAGCAAGTCTCATCAGTTAATACACATGCATAACATAACACAAATCATATGTATGTAGCTTGATGGATTATTATAGAGTGAACACACCCATGTTACCAGATGAAAAGAAGAGAATATCACTGAAATTAAGACCCCGTGTACTGCCCATTACTACACCTTCCCTGTTTCCCAGAGATAGACACTATCTTCTTCAGTTTGTCTGATATATTATTAAACCTATATATTGAGTTCTTAATTTCAATTATTGAAATTTTTAAAGAATTCCCTTTTGATTTAATTTAGAGTTCTAGTCTTCTAATGAAATTATCCATAATATCTTGTGATTGGTTGAACTTATTAATCACAGTTATTTTAAATTCTGGGTCAGAAGACTCCAAAATTTAGCGCTTCTACAGGTCAGTTTATATTTTCTGTTTTTTCTCTTGGTATTTAGTCATTTCACCTTCTTTGCTATTATGTCCTGATAATTTTTTTTATTGAATGTTAGATATTGGATATGAAAAATTCTAAATAAAAATGTAAGGTTCTCAGTGGTGCTTTCCTTGCAGCAAACAATTGGAATAGAGATAGATCAAATCAGATTAATCATGGATTGAGCCATTTCAATGCTGAGCTGCAGTCATTGTAAGTAAGGGCTTATCCATTTCCAACTTCTCCTGCTCCCAGTATATAGCATGTTTTAGGTCCCAACTGAGCAGTAAGATCTATCCTTCCTCATAGATTCTGAATCCATTCTTTTTCCCCTCTAGTATCTTAAGACTGGCAGATGTTCCTGTCAACTTTTTAGCTTCTCCGTGTTGCTAGTGAATTGGCAAATGCCTTAAGAGGTAAAGCTGACCGAACGGGGGCTCACATTTATATATTGTGCTTTTCTTCCCTCTTTGATTTTGGACCCCTAAGCCACAGCTGCTTTGGTAGGTATCTGATGCTTTCAAATAGGTATATAAATATCCAGTGTTTCTAGTTGTTCTTGGCAAGAAATGTTGGTCAGCAAAAAAGTGATAGAAGTATTTTTTAAAAACCTGCTGCTGTTTGTGAGATCTCATGATTTTTTTCAAAATACAAGTTTTATAGTTTTTAAAAATAGTTTTTCTACAGTAAATTGTACTTATATTGAACCCTAAGCCATCATTTCATGGTTCTGTCCTCATTGAAGTTAAAAAAAATTCCTATCATTGATAGCAGAAATACTTCAGGAATTTGTTTTTTACGGTAGAGTTGGTTTTTAAATGGCTGACTTCAGAGCACTGGCTGCAAGATGGTTAGGTTTAGGGATCTGGTCAATCTCCCAACAAGCAGGTGGAGCCTAGTCATTTCTTATTCTACCCCATTCTTGATTAGTAGGTTTACTAATGTACTCTCTGGTGTGACCCTTCAGGTACTTTTTACAAGTTATGCTAGAACATTTAAACCAAGCATTAAAAAATGGCCTTGAATGTATCAAGTTCAAAACAAAAACTAGTGCCTCACTTGAAACTAACAAAGTGCCAAGAAATGTCTCACTGATAATTTTCCTGGGCTTTGCTTTTTTCTTTTTCTGTGCTTTTTATCTCTGTCAACCAACTTTCCTTTAATTATTTGTTCCCACCAAAGTGACAGAATTGGGTCGTTCCAAATTCTACGCAGCAGATAAAACTGCTCTTGTGCAAGACAGAGAAGGAAAAGCCTTTGAATCCCAGGTGCTTTCAATAGAACAAAATTAACATTCAAGGCCGCACTTGGCTAGTGTGCCTCTTTCACTGAGCAGAAAAATTAGTGTCTATTTATAGCTCTTTGAACAGTGTCCATTTTGACCAACAAAAAGCCAAAACTGTACTCTTTCCAACTTGACATATTTTCCTTTTAGACTAGTACTCTTTCCTAAATATTAATTGCCAATTAAGGCATATGTGTAAACTCAAATGTCAAATGATATGACAAAATTAATATAGCTCTAAAGTGTAAGCTTAATTGAGTTTGTTTAATTCAGCATACTTGTATTGGTCTTATAACAAGTCACTTTTGAAGAAGGTTTTGAAGGATGCAAAAATGAATTAAAACAATTCTCCATCTCAACAATATAATGAGGCTTAAAGTAATTGCAATAAGACAATGCAGAGTGGGAACAGATTATTTTTGTGTGGTAACATAAATGAAGGATGTAGGAAGTGGAATTTGAGCCAGATCTCAAAGGGTAGATAAGTTTCATCAAACTTATCTTAAAAGTCATTTTTCCACGAAGTAGTTCCAGATGCTTCCCTGATATGGAACTGACCTTATGCCTTATCTTTCCTGCCCCCATCTTCCACCTGTAACTTATTGGTTTGCATCTAAGTGAGCCGTAAGCCCCTTACAGATCTCCAGATCTCCACATGGGGCTAGCCCTATTCCAGCCCAGAGAAAACATTTGTAAGCATTTTTAAATTAACGAATTAGCTAAGTAATTAACTCATGGAGGGATTAAAAACAAAGGAGAGTAAGGATTCTAGTTTCATATTTATTACAGGTTGGGATCCCCAGGAGGCAAGTTCTGATTGCACATTAGAATCACCAAGTGAGATATTTTTTAAAAACATTTTATTATGGAAATTTTCAAACATTTACAAAAGTACACTGAACAGTGTAATGAACCCAATGTACTCACCACCCCACTTCAGCAATTATTAAGGCCTGGCTAACCTTGTTTCATCTCCACCTCCACACAATCCCGCCCCCTCCTCCATATTGTGTTAGTATTTTGAAGCAAACTGGGGAACTTTTTAAAAATACTGGTTTTGGGGGGGAGTGGTTGAAGCTGCCCAGGTGATTCTAATGTGTACCCAGGTTTGGGAATCTGGTGTCGGATAACATGAGCACTAGAGTTGCCCAATTTCGGGGTGAACTCCAGGATTGGTGAATTTCTCTGTCTGGCCAGAGCCTATTTTATGTCTGAGATAATAAGAGAAGTGTCAGGAAAAGGGCCTGCTTTGGGGTGAGGGTAGAGCTGAGATCAGTCTTACCTGTTTGAATTTTACTCTGAAGTTTATTTTTATCATCATTTTGGACTGAGCCATGGCCTCTATGGTTAATTTCCAGATGGGAAAATTGGATAATAAACAATTAAATGGCTAATTATACATGCATATTAAATTAACATTGAAAGTCAAACAATTAAGCAAAGATTCTTCATTTCTAGAAAACCTCTGTGATTTTTTCATGATTTTCACAATGATTTCCAGTAAAGAAATTAATTCACCTAAGGTAAGTAAAAGGGTATAATTTAAGTGGATATAAATGCATAAGTGCTATTGGCTAAAGGGTAACAATGTCAGTAGTGGCTCAAGAATGAGCCACTAACCAAAAGGACAATAATAACTACTAATATAAAAACAGTCCCTCATTCCAAAAAAAAAAAAAAAATTCCATTTCTTTGCAATTCTTAGTTCACCACTTCTACTTATTAAATTGTATTTAATGGTGACATTTTGTTTTCTCCATTCACAGTTCTCTGACAAAGTCTTTATTATATTCCTTGTACTTTGTTACTTATTTCATTTTAATATGGGTTGTCATATATTGATTCAGTATTTGTTTGAAAAATGCAATCACCACAAATTGGTGAATTAGAGTCAGTTATAGATTGGTGATCTTAAAATTTCAATCCTTTAAAAATTGGAGCCATAATAGATATCAATCTTAAAATGGTGATAGAATAATAAATGTACATTCCACTAAATATTGCTAAATCAACATATTTTTGAGATACTCTTAAATTCAAAATAACCAAAAGAGAATGGTTCCTTTACATTTGTATCTATATGTAACCTCCCTTCAAAAAATATTGCAACCCGCCCCCCAAACAAAACCCTGAAAAAATGCATTTCTCAAATCTAGTTTTGTTTTAGAATATAAATCAACAGATGTTTGTTGAACATGTATTATGTACAAATTTAAATTAAGTTTTCTGATTTCAGTGTTTTTGAAAGCCATTCCAATTTCTTACGAGTTTTGCATGACTGATTAGGTGTTTGAGTAATATTATGGCTTTGGCATCTTGTCAAATTCAAGAAAAAAGAATTTAATTGTCATATTGTTACTCATATTTTCAGACAGCAAGGAAATAAAGGCAATGCAACGTGATGAACAAAAAGATAGATTGCTTACACCCTGCAGCTGTGGCTTTAGCCTTACGTAAAGCTTTTCTTCTTTTACTTTTAATCAGTAGGGTGTTCTCAGAAATGTAAAATGTCCTTTAAAATGGCATATTTTTCAGCCTAAACGTCATTTCATAATCCATGCTCCAAGTGTTTAGAAACCTTTAGATGAAAGTAGTGTGATGACAGATATTTCATCAGGGTATGAAGCATTTTGGTGCAAATGGTTTTAGATCCAAGAAAACCATTTGTGGGTTGAGGGAGGTGGAAGCTGCAGAGCGGCAGATGCACTACCTTTATCTCCTTTTTCAAAGCTCAAAGCAGATGAAAATATCAGTAAAAACTTATACACCTTTAGCATCAGATAGTAATTGGGGAAAAGAATGGCTTGAAATAAGATGGCTTGAAAAGAATGGCTTGAAATAAGAATCAGCAATCTTTTTGTCACTGTGAACTGTGGAGTAGAATTCTGTATAAAAGAAGACTGTCTTGGATCACATCTTACAGGTTTAGCCCATGAAGTATTAGAAGAAATAAGATTGTGTGGGTGCACAGGTGGCTTCACTGGGAAGCTAATGAAGTGTAAGCTACAACAGGGTTCCCCAACCTATGGTGAGTTGTACAATTATTTTGTATGTTACAATGTAATAATAGAAATAAAGATAATAGAATAATAGAATAAATATAAATAAATAAAAATAATAGATATATTATTAAAAAAATAAATATAAATAAATAAAAATAATAGAAATAAAGTGGACAAGAAATATAATGCTCTTGAATCATTCCCAAACCATCCCCCCTTCCCCCAATCCACGGAAAAATTGTCTTCCATGAAAACAGTCCCTGGTGCTAAAAAGGTTAGGGACTGCTGAGTTATGGCACCCCTCACTTCTGCGAGGCCTTTCCAAGGTCTTGGGAAGGTTCCAGCAATGTACTGAATTGGTTGTATATTTTATGTTACAAATGTTATTTTGTAACATTTGAAAAATTAGCTATTAACTATAGTCGCTTAAGGCCTCTATTTCCACTCTGACATCCCTCTATTGCTCCCACGTGATCACCAGAATTTTAAGAATCCAGCTAATGAGAAGTCGAGATGGGCTTCCATTTGCTTAAGAATAAGTGGGGTATGTGTATGTGCTTCTCAATCATTTTCAGTAATAGTCACATTACTACTAGCTGTCCTGGGGAGAGAATGGCTCCCAGGAATACTCCTGCCCACTCTGCTGGCTAATTGACAAAGAGACATGAAGATTCAGGCTGGAGATTGTAATCCCATTATGAGTGTAATCCCATTATAATCCCTATGACTCCCAGCCCCAGGAAGACTTTTCTATTTTTGCTACAAAAATGATATTACAAAATCATTATCTTAGGAAGAGGTTATCAAAGAAAATGCAGCCAAGAAAATGTAGGAAAATACATTTAGAAGTGTGTCAGGCAGTTAATGAAGATTTATATATTTTTCTTCATTTTGTTATATCTGTGCTGTTTGTTTTTTAAAATTAATGTTTTATGGTAGTTTCTTTTCTAAAATGCTAAAGAAAAAAAATCCTTTTAAAAATTCACTTTTGCCCTTGTTTCTGAATTTGTAATTTTTCATTTATTTTTTTAAAGAGAGCTTCCCAAATTATATAGACTTTGGGTCTGATAGACCTGAATTCAGCTTCCACAGGCAGCCTGGAGAGGATTGTAAACAAGTTCCAGCGTAGCCTTCAGGTCACTGTGGGAGACCATTATTGGTGCACTGTCTTTCAGTGATTTCTTATGGCCAATAGGATCTGAACTTCTGTGTCCTCCACCTAGTGACATGGGTGAGATTTCCCCAGTGAATGTGTTCTTTCAGGAACAGGTCCCTAGTGTTTGCGCTCTGCTCTATCCCAGGCAACATTAGTCCCTTCTCCTAACTCCTTACCCCACAGCTGAGATCAGAGCACAATCTCTACAGGAACTTACCGAAGGTTCTAGGAGCTCTGTCTGGATGGATAAACTAGGGAGCTGAATACAAAAGAGACCAGGTGAGTTGCTCTTGAAGCTCACAAATTCAGATCCAGCCCATTCCCAGCCAGCTTCTACCCGCTGAACCCCCATCCTCTTACCACTGAACTTTAGGGCATACCTGCAGATTTTGTTTACAGAAATGAATCCCTTCATTCAACTTGTACTGATTGAGAGCCTTCCATAATAAAAATAAATATTTGTTGAGTTGTACACTGTATGTCATAAATTATGCTTTAGTGTTTTATATGCTTTTATGAATTTAATTCTCCTAGTCACATTATGATGTTTATATTATTATTTCTCCATCTTCTAAAGGGATTCTGAAAGTTAGAAATTTGCCTGAATTCTACACAGAAAGTATCCTGAGGAAATAGGATTAAAACCCATGCAGTCTCACCCTAGATTCTACATTCCTAAACACTGAACGTGTGCCCGTCACTGTGCTAGGAGCAGGTCAGGTGGGCAACAATGATGACCAAAAGAGTCGTCATCTCTGTCCTCCTGACTGACACATGCCTTAAAATAATGATTGACAATGATCTCCAGCCACAGGGGGGTGCTTACAACCTTATTCCCACCCTAAAACCTGCAACTCAGTCCTCCTTGATCTTTTTGTGATTGGGCCTTTGTTACTATTTTCACATCTGTTCAAATTTAACTTCCTCAGACAGGCCACTCCAGATCATCCAATAACTTAAGCTCCTAAATTATTCATAGACACATTTAACACTGTGTGGCATTTTTCTTGTTTCTTGTAAACAATCTGGTATTATTTTCTCCACAGAGCTTATTCGAGAGAGAGAGAGAGAGAGAGAGAGAGAGAGAGTGTGTGTGTGTGTGTGTGTGTGTGTGTGTGTGTGTAAGGAAGCCAGGAAGAAGGACAAAAATAAAAGAATGCAAGAAGAAGGAAGAGAGAAAGGAAGAAGAAGAGAGGTGTGAACCAGTGTGATCAAGAAGGAAGGAAAGACAGGAGGAAGGGCATGCTGGGTGATCCCAAGAGCACATGTTTTGAATGCCTTTGACCTTGACTGTAGTAATTTCCTGTGGTTGTTGTAACCAATTACCACAAACTTGGTGGCCTAATATAACAAATTTATTCTCTCACTGTTCTGGAGTTCAGAAGTCCAAAATAAAGGTGTTGGCAGGACCCCCTCCAGAGACTCTAGAGAAACTTCTACACCCTGCCTGCTTGAGCTACCATCTGACCTTTCCTTTCCCCTCTTACCAAAACAGCTCAAAAGAGTAGTATAAACTCCACCTACATTTGCATCTCCCATTCACTGCACACTTTATGGTGATTTGGCTTCTTTTTTTTATCAGTTTGCTGGAACTACTTTAGCTAAGGTCACAAATATCTCCTAATTATCAAATTCAGTGGATATTTTTCAGTTATTTAGTGCTGGATTTGTATACTATTTTGGTGATATTAATTACTTCCTCTTTTAAAATTCTCTATTGACTTTCACTACATTTCATTTTCTTGGTTCTTTTCTCTTTCTAATATTTAGTTTTTTCATTGTTTTCTCTTTGGACTTATCTTCCTCTGCCAACCCTTATAAAAAAGTGTATTTCCATCTTTGGAAATACGAAGTGATTCCATCTTTGTCCATTGCTTTTATTCTACACAGTAGTTATAATGGGACAATCTTAGTTACTCTTGTGATTTCAAATAGCACCAGTGTGCTAATGACTTCCAAACATTTAATCATAATGAAGACTCTTCTGTTGAACTTCTGGATACACATGTAACTACTCACCCATCTCACACTCTTACCATAAACTAATCAAGTCCCAAAATGAAGTGATCAACCTTGTCCATAAACCTTCCTATATACTCTCTCTCTTGGTGCCACTATCACTCATAAAGTCATCCCAACTAGAATTTGGTGACTCAGCCCATCTTTGGTTCTTCCATCATCCTTATATCTAATCACTCACAAGCCCAGCCTGTCTTACCAAGCTGCATCCCTGCCTCCAAACCCACTGTCCCCTGTTAGTACAGACGCTCATCATCTCTCCGAACTGGTCACTCTGCCTTCCATGTCAATCCACTATGCAGGTGCCAGATTAACACATCTCAAAGAAATATGGCATCATCACTCTTAACCTAAGATCAGAGTTCTTTTCTCTCTCACCTCTCCAACCACATTTTCCATTTTTTGCCTCTGGAACATGTAAATTACCATAGTTATACACCTTGAGACGGTCAATGCCCCTGTGACTTCTTCATGTGGTTCCCTCTCGCTAGGACAGGCATCACCTGACTTGTAACCTGATTCACTTTTAACCCCACTTTATGTATAAGCACCAAATCATTTCTGGAAAGAATTCCTTAGACTTCCAAACTGCTTTGAATATCTCCCTCCATTTGTATATTTCTTTGTATAGATCTCTATCACTGCTTCCCCTTGTCGTGTTGTAATTGCCAGTTTACCTGCCTGATTCTTGTAGCAGACGGAGTTCCATAAGGATGGGAACTGCATCTGTTTCACATGTGTGTTCGTTACCTGGCGCATTGCTGAAGAATGATGGGAACCTTGTATTCTATACCAAGCTGAGGAGGGAGCTCTCTCTTGGGGGGAAACAAAGAATTTTGGTACCCTTCAAATAACACCACACAATCTAATTTTCAGTCCTTCCTGCTAAGAACAGATAATGCAAAATTCAGTTACATTTTAGGTTATCTCAATGGCAAAGTATGGAAATGAAAACACCATGATAAACTTCTGCTTTGTAATGAACGTCCTTTTTCTTTGGGCAGCATGGAAAACAGAACACTTGGCCACCTCAGAATCATGCTATGTTGCTGCTTTTGGAAATGCTGTTCTTGTTTAACAGAGAAGCTTCATTACCAGAACCCTCGGTTTTGCAAGGTCACCCACGGGCCAAGGGACAGATTCAAAGCTTCATTCACAGGAGGGTGGCCTGTCTTATATCTGCAGGTTTGGGGGATTCGGGATTATACAGACACTAGAGTTTGTTTTGATACTGTTTTAATATTCTGAAGGAATCAAAAATGAAATCTTACAAAGTATTTATGTATTAGGTATTCTGAGTAAATATACTAAAATATTCTGTCCTGTAATTTTTTTAAAGAACAAAAAAGAGTGTTGGGAAGATGAAATGGCCCTATCCTAGTATATACTTCATTGTGAATATTCATAGACATGAAAATATTAGCCTATACAAGGAATCCGAAACAGAGGACTCAGAACTTTTCTTTTGGCCAGCACAGAAGGTTGATTTTACTTTTTAAAAGTTGTGAAGTATAGTATAAAAGTCATAAATATGCATAAAATTAATATGTAATTTAACAAATAATTATAAATTAAAAACCCCTGAAACTAATTCTTGAGTCAAGAAATAGAACATCTGCACCTATTATGGGCTAACTGTATCCTCCCAAAATTCTTACATTAAAGCCCTAACCCCCAGTAACTGAGAATGTGACAGTTTGGAAACAGGGCCTTTAAGGATGTAATTAAGGTTCTATGAAGTCATTAGGCTGGGCCCTAATCCAATATAACAGGTATCCTTTATAAGAAGAGGAAATCTGGACACAGAGAGAAAGACATGAGACATGCACACACCCAGAGGAAAGACAACATGTGAAGATAGCAAGAAGGCAGCCAACTAAAGCCAAGGAGAAAGGCTTCAAAAGAAATTGAACCTGCCGACACCTTGATCTTAGACTTCTATCCTCCAGAACTGTGAGAAAATAAATTTCTGTTGTTTAAGTCCCCCAGTCTGTGACATTTTGTTATGGCATCCCAGAAATACCCTTAGGTCCCTGCCTGATGACACAGCCCCCATCTTCATCTCACACGTAGTTAGTTACCTGCTGGTTTTACTATTGTTGGTAAACATGATGTTACTTTCCACTGCAGTTTTATCACCTATACTTTCATCCAAAAAAATTATAGCTTGGCTTTGCTAGTTTTGCAGCTTCTTTATTAATTTGAATTTGAATAGCTTTAGGCAAAGCATCCATTCTCTCATTCACAATAGCCAAGAATCTTCTATTGTCTGCACCTGACTAGTCCTTGAGCATGTGTGTTCCCTATTCCTTGGTCTCTTGCCCAGCCTTCTGGAATGTACCTCCCTTAATGGCCAATTATCATCTCAAGAATGATGGAGTCAATGATTCTAACAATCACACTCTTTCACTCCCACCTGTTACAGGTGCTAAATGTCAAATTTTTGTGTTTGAATTACAGTGGAAACTGGAGAATTTTGTGACATTTATTGAAATAGCGTCACCCAAAACTGTCACAACCTAAGATAGAAAATTGTGAATTTAGCCTGGATGGGCTTTATTTAAAGAAGCAGGAACACCAAACCCCTTTCTTGCCTGTATCTTTCAGGGTCCCAACAGAAAACAGATGGACAGTCAGGCTAAACTAATTCAGAAAGAGCTTCTTTACAAAGGAACGCCTTGCAAAAGTAGAAGCACAGGGAATGGTGCAGGAACCTGACACTGGTAGTAAAGGGAAAGATACCAAAATGCAGATAAAGAAGGGTCTAAAAGAGTGTTCTTGAGAGACCTTATATTGAGGGTCCCAGCCAGCCTGAGGGAACCGTCCAGGAAGGGAGCCGAAAAGAAAAAAAAAGTCTCATTCTCACTCTTCTCTCTCTGATACCCTCCCTGGGCTCAACATTGGCCAAACCTGACCAGAAGCCAGAGGGCTTGGGGACCTGTAGACAAAGTATAACTAGATCTTGGGAGAACAGTGAGTCAGGAGAGGAAATGGGAGATTTCTGACACTTTGCCTTTGGAATGGCAACATGAGGGAATGTAGATGTTGGGTTTTCCATGCAATTCCATGTTTGAAATGTGATAATTCTCCAGGGAAGACAGTGCATGAAGAATATATAGCTCCACCATAACCATTCTGGGAGTTCACAAAACCAGGATGACCAGATGGTGATATAACCAAGAAAATAATAAAGAGTGGGTGGTATCTTCAGGATTCAGATATGGCGTGCCTCTCAGACATCTTGCTACTAGTTAGATTGCATGACATTGCAGTTTACTAATTTTAACACTTGAGACATCCTACTGCCAAATGATAAGAACAATTAGGAATAAAATACAGAGCTACCATCTGGAAGGATTAGTATGCTTTTTAGTAAAGTAGGTGTGGCCTGCAGAAAGGTTTGGAACCAAAGTTATCTAACCTTAAAGCATAAATCTTTCCTGAAAAAAAAAAATTTGTATATGGGATGAAAGTGGGAAATTTTTTTTTCGGTTTCTTTTTCAGGAACCTGGTATAATAGTATTTCCTTACATATAGCACAAAAAGTCACAGTTATTTCTAGGGGATTTTTATTATAACGAAATTCACTGTAATCCTATTTGTAAATTTGGAATTGGGCATAATGAAGATTCAATTTGAAATCGAGCCAAAAGGTCTTAGCTACTGAAATACCAAAGTTATTATTAACACATAAAGGGTAATCTATCACAATAGCAAAAATGTGGAAACAACCCAACTGTCCATCAACAGATGAATGGACAAAATGTGGGGTGTATATGTATATATATATATATATATATATATATGTGAAATATTATTTAGCCATAAAAAGGAATGAAAGTCTGATTTACCCGTCTGTGAAGTTTGAAAAGATTATGCTAAGTGAAATAAGCCAGACACAAAAAAACAAAGATTGTATGATTTCACTCACATGAGATATCTAGAACAGGCAAATTCATAGAGATAGCAAGTAAATTAGAGGTTATAGGGATAGAGGAGAGAAGGGAAAATTAGGAGTTATTGCTCAATGGGTATAGAGTTTCTATGTGGGGTGATGAAAATATTTTGGAAATAGGTACTGTTGATGGTTGTACAACATTGTG